ACTTTTTAATAATCTTATTGACAAGGTTCATCTACATTCCTACCTTCTAATTTGTTTTCAATTGGAATTAGCTTTTAAATATAAATTTTTTATTGTCATTACTACTTGCAGTTTATGGCCAGTTGTAAAATTTTCCAGTGATTCAAAGTTACTGGTGCCTGAAACAAATTATATTAACATATAGTTACTTATTTGTCTTTGTTTTCTGGTTTATATAAATACTATATACATATGACTATCACCGCTCCCCCAAAAATGACACTGGAGGTTAATTACTTTGGCTTTTTATTCCACAGCTTTGTCTTAAACATAATAAAATAGTACATGTAAATTCACAATGATGTATAAATAGTGCCATCTATGATGGAAGATTAACAAAAGAATGTCTTTCATCATCACAGATGGTTATAAGAATGAATTTCTACAGAACAAATGCCCTTTTTATCTTTAAACGACTTTATGTTTAACAGGTTGTCCTAATTTTTATTTTGAAAGAAAAGATTTTGCTCCTTTAGCTAGGAGGTAAGAAACATAAGGAGGGTAATTATAATGAGATTTAAATAATTCACTTACATTTCTATGCCAATAAAATAAAGCATGTTCTCTTAGGATTTTTAATAAGCTCTAAAATGTGTCTTTCAGTTTACTAATATTATTTTTAAAAACACATAATACTGTTATCTTCCCAAATCAACTATTATTGTTTTCCAGCAACAGATTTGGCAATCATTCAGAGGCAAATAGTATTATGCTTTTTAGATTTTTAAATATATCTGAAGTGCTGTTGACTGCTCTCCAAATCAGGTCAGATGCACTGTCTCTTCAGAAGCATTTGCCAGAGGTACTGTATGTTCAAATGGAAAATTTTCATGCTTCATAGTAAGCTTTATTTATTTTCCAAACCTCTAAATTTTTTATACTAAGTAGCAACATCTCCCTTTATGAACCATGGGATCTTTATTAATTAAACAAGAGTCAACAGGGCTGACTTATTCTCTCTCTTATCAGCTGAATTACCCAGCACACAAATCACAGAGGAAATATTTTTAATACTAGAATGTTCTCCAAGCCGGTAAATCTGGGATTATCTCATCATACCGATTATGTCAAAGCTCTTTAGCCACAGTGCTCACTAGGACATAAAATTGCATGATATACACACAAATGGCCCTCTTCCAGCATCATAGGAAGAATTCCAAATTTTTCTTACAATAATCAGAAATCACTAATTATCAATAAAACTAGCTATGATTATTTATTGTATATCTCCTCTCTGCCAGGCACTTTACATGCATTACTTGAGTTTCACAAGAATTGTGTCCCATTGGTTCTGGACATTTTGAACAAAGACCCAGGTCTGAAATGTGTGTTCGAAGCACAGAACATATCTCTCTGTTACTTTAGTTTTATTTCTTCTAGTAAGTAGCTGTTGTAATTGCATATTTGATGCTTAGGTGTGTGCATATGTGTTTTTAGTCATGTACAAAAAAGCATATTGTGAAGACAAGATTAATCAAGTTATAAGCTTAATCAAATTTTATGATATTACTTTTATATTTGGAGTAGATCAGATGTTGATTTGTTGATTAAAAAGTGCTTAATGAAGGTTAGTGGCAAGGATGACCATCTGGTAGAACTTTCTGATATTCACCATTCAGAGTCTGTAACTACATTTTTTTCTTAGACATTTTCCTTTTGATTATTTTAAATTAGCAATTTAATGGAATGTTGATATATGGACAGATGTAATGTTTCAAGCACGAGAATATTATTTATAAAAAGTCAAATAGCAAAGCATAGTACCTGAACTTACCCTCAGGTAATTGCTTCTGTTTTTCATCCTTCCCATCTCCGCCAACTATAGAATTTTATACTATGGAGAGAGAGGAATTAAAATGATTTAATTTATAGTCTCTTCTTTGGACTAATATATTATAAATGTGCTGATAAACATTAAGGTATTAATATATATACCAATATTTTAAAATAAGCAAGGCTGTCTCACCAAGCTTTTTCCTTTTAGTTTTAAACATGTAGTTTGTACCCAGCAATGTGTCCTCATTTCACCTTGCAGTGGCATTCCAGCCCTCTCATGTTACACTCATTAGTATTTCTTTAAACCCACTTTCAAGTTAGGCAGCTTTCCAGCTTTATAAAGGCCTTGAAATGAAGTTAACCTGTGCCGAATCAAATGCTTTAGTAAATTTGGCCTCCATAATAAGAAATTCCATTAAACCATTTTAAAGAGATATTAGTAATGTGGATTATTGTCAAGAGAATAATGATTCTTTGTACACTAAACCACACTCTGAGCTTTTGAAACTATGAAGATGCCTGGGCCTCGTTACTTTCACCTTGATTCTTAAAGAACTTGAACCCTTTTTATGGCATCATAAAACCACTAGTAATCTTCTTTCATGAAAAGATACACTTTTAATATTTAAACAGAGGAGCTGAACAATTTGTGTATGGGGGATGAACAAAATATATATATAGGATTGAAAACAAACCAAACCAATAATAACAGTGGAACTTACCATTTGTACTATCTAACATTTTCAGTATTGTAATCAGTGGCAAATAAAGTGAATGCATTTTTGTGATAGTTTCCAACTTTTGTTCTATGGAAGATTAGCCCTGTGTTTGTCAACAGAGATATGTTACTTGGAGTAATATTACATAGTCTTGGAGACTCATGTAGCACAATTAGCATGTTAAAGTTCTCTGGGAAATCCTGTAGTAAAGAAACCTATTCAATTTTGTCGAACTATTTGACCATAGAATTGTATTCTTCACATAATATCGATTAACTGATTGGTTGATTGAGACGGGTTCTTATTCTGTAACCCAGGATGGAGGACAGAGTGTAGTGGATCATACCTCATTGCAGCCTCAAACTTCTGGAGTTCAAGCAGTCCTCCCATATCAGCCTCCCAAGTCAGTCACTGGGATTATAAGCATAAGCCACTGTGCCAGGCTATTCTTCAAGTAACATTTATTTAAAACTCTTGGTAACATATTTTGGAAAATGTTACTTTATAATGTAGGAGGTACTTTCAGATTCACAATCTTAAGTCATCTTTATAAGTACTGGTCTTCAAATGCACTTGATCTAAGACAGGATGCTACTTCTGAGGTTGAGCTTGGGTAGGACAAAGGCTAGGGAAACTGATCTATTATTGATGAAGTAGTGGGGTAAACCAGGGCTAGAAAGAGTGTCCCAGGAGAAAAAACAAGTCCTTGTCCTAATTTGTACACTCGGGAATTGGGAACATGGTGGTTGATTTAGGAGATTCATCCAGCCAAAGGCTGGGAGTAGGACGCTAGGTATAAGAAATACCATCACCAAGTTAAAAGCATGATTTTGTGATATGTCAACACTTTCTAGACATACCCAATATCTTTTGTACTACTTTTCTCATCTCTGCTTGTGTTATTTCCCTGAAACACTTTTTCAGGGTGCTGGTCATTTGTTCTGAGAACATGTTAGGCCCCATAAATTCAGAGATAAGAAACATAGTTCCTGCCCTAAAGAGCTTCATATGTAGTAGGAAGGCCTAAAAGCAAACGAGCATTTATAATTTAATGTAATAAGAGATAAGACTATGGGCACAGATTGGAAGATTCTTTTTATTTTTATTTATTTATTCATTTATTTTTGAGACGGAGTTTCGCTCTTGTTACCCAGGCTGGAGTGCAATGACGCGATCTCGGCTCACCGCAACCTCTGCCTCCTGGGTTCAGGCAATTCTCCTGCCTCAGCCTCCTGAGTAGCTGGGATTACAGACACGTGCCACCATGCCCAGCTAATTTTTTATATTTTTAGTAGAGACGGGGTTTCACCATGTTGACCAGGATGGTCTCGATCTCTCGACCTCGTGATCCACCCGCCTCGGCCTCCCAAAGTGCTGGGATTACAGGCTTGAGCCACCGCGCCCGGCCCCAGATTGGAAGATTCTTAAGGGATATTTGGTTTTTTAGAATTAATGAGTTAACTTCTCATGGGAAAAGATTATGGGAAAGAAGAAGATATTGTTGGCCAAGTGCAGTGGCTTACCCCTGTAATCCCAGCACTTTGAGAGGTTGAGGTGGGTGGATAACTTAAGGCCAGGCATTCCAGAGCAGCCTGACCAACATGACAAAAACCCATCTCTACTGAAAATACAAAAAATTAGCCGGGTGTGGTGATGCACACCTTTAGTCCTAGCTACTTGGTAGGCTGAGGCACAAGAATTGCTTGACTCCCAGGGGACAGAGGTTACAGTAAGCTGAGAGCATGCCACTGCACTCCAGCTTAGGTGACAGAGCAGGACTCTGTCTTTAAAAAAAAAAAAAAAAGGTATGTTGAGGCAAGTAAAAAAAAAACAAAGTATTTCATAGTAAAGTATTTCAGAGTAAAGTATGTATTTGATCCAGAAGGCATTGAATGTTTAGCAAGTGAGTAACAGTGTATGATTTGTCATTTAGAAAGTTCTTTGGCTGGAGTAGAGAATGAATTAGAAAAGAACTAAAGCAACCCAGGAGATGGAGGTTGCAGTGAGCTGAGATTGCACCATTGCCCTCCAGCCTGGGTAACAAGAGCGAAACTCCGTCTCAAAAAAAAAAAAAAGAACTAAAGCAGAGGCAGAGAGGCAAACTATTTCAGTGACCCAGCCTATTTCACTGAAAAAGGAGAACAAAAAATGGATTCCAGAGATGTTACAGCAAGACAATCATTGGACTTGCTGACTCACTGACTGAATGTCAGACACTGAAAGGAGAGGCATTAGAGATGCTGCATTCACCTGCATTCATTTTTAACCAAAGAAGAAAGAAAGAAATGGCTTTTGTTGAACCTTAAAATGTGTCTAAGACTTGTTAAAACTATTGGATCTAATTCTAACTGCTTCCTATCACAGGGACTTTACTAGGGTAGAAGCAATGTCACCAGGATCAGTACTTGCATGGATGAGTAGAAAGCCAGTCTTTCGGATTCTAATTGCATTCTTGTTCTTCTCAAGTCACGTAACACAGACTACATCCTGGATCCATCCTGTGATGAGTGTCCTGAATCTGTCTCGCTCAGAGGAGAGTGAAGAAGATTGCTCTAGAGAACTCCCCAACCAGAAAAGTTGATCGTTTTCCTTAGGAAATGGAGTTCCGTGGTCATCTGGCATCTCAGTCTACATGGACAGCGTGAGCAGAGACACATAACATCCAATTCTGAGATGCAACAGTCTAAAATAGGAGTGAAGCATACACTACTTGTTGAAGGGTAAAATAGAGACTCTGGACTTTGGATATTTTTGTAAAACTTTTGATATTTCTGTATACATTTTTAAAAAATCAATCGCCACTACAGTAGTTCTTTGAGAATAATCTAGTCATATTTTTTGAAAGCACATAATTAGAATTTATAATATATATACTTTTTCTTATATAATTAGATCTTTCTTTGTAATTTCATATGTAGTTCTTCATAAGGTCTTCACATATTGAAAAAGTATATGAACATAATGAAACACCTCATTAATTTGATAATTCATTAACCTTTTATATTCATCTATTAGGAAAGTGATCTTAGCAGGCTTTTTGGAATTTGAGGATCACATTTAGATCTCTGATGGGCTAATGAATACAGCTTATATCTTTATTGAGCTTTCTAATTTACAAAATGCTTTGCAGACCTCATTTTATTTAAACCATACCACATGCCTGTGAGGCTGATCTGGTAGATATGTTTATTCTTGTTTTTCAGTAGGGAAGTAGCAGTTCAGAGAGAGGAAGCTCCCTGTCCGAGCACTGAGACTCACTCCTAAGTCTTCTGATTCCACGTCCAGTCCCCTTCCCCCAACACCCTGCTGTCCCCACAGAGGAAGGTCACAGCCCATCATGCAGGGCACTGTGATTGTGTTGATGCAGCTGGCTCCACAGCTGTGCATTCCACAGAGATTCAGAAGGCACCTCTTCAGTCAAACATGGCCCCTCTATAACCCTACTATTCTTCTGCTATAAACCTTTCCCCCTTCTCAGCACTCAAGCCCCCAACAAGTAGGCAAGCTGCATTGTGATATTGTTTCAACAGGCTTCTTTCAGCAGCTCATGTTTTTCTAAAGTGAAGGACGTGGTTTGCCCTGCTTATGTTTCCCTTCCCAGAGCAATGGTTTGAGGGGAGCTAATGAGAAGAGAGAGATCTTTTAAAACATTGCTGCTCTACTTGAAACAAGATGGAAGCCTAAAGCCCAAGTCAGGCAGCACCCAGCACTGCTGTGCAGTCCTAGAAATCCTTAGAACATAGTGTAAGAACCATCCATTGTAAGCATTTTATAGATGAGTAAATTGAGATCCCAAGTCTCCTAGTCTACTGAATTTCATATGGTATATAACACAGATTTATGTGGTAAAGATATATATACATTGTGCTCAACTATACCTTCCTGAATACACTTAGGATTTATTATTTATGTCTTGAGTAATAATATCAAGTCAACTCCAGACTGATAGGTAGTCATTAGCCATGAAAAATGTTTCAGGATGGCTAGAGAAAACTTGTGTTTTGCCTGATAGCCATTTGAAGATCAGGAAGCTTCAGGGAGAAAAGTTTTGAGAGAAGCCCCAGAGGGAGCTATTTCCTTGCACTACCAACCCCCGCCAGCCCCCCACCCTCACCCCCTCACCGCCAGAGGTGATTGAGGTATTCTATGTGGTAGTGTCTGAAATTGTGAATGTGCAAACTTTTTGTTGTTGTCAAATTAATGGTATAAAATTTTTCTCCCCCTGCTTGGAGAATTTTGTAATTTGTTTCTAGTGAGCAAAACAGAGGAGGTGTTTGAGTCACTTGAAATCAGAGTACTCAGGCACCAGCCCACCAACAGAGACACCTCATCTTTTCCCTGCTGTTTTGTACCACTTGCCTCCCTGTTTCTGTCATATTCCTAGTGAAAAAGACCTGAACAATTATACTATTTATTGAGTATTTTGTGCTGTACACTGTGTTGAGCAGTTTGCATACATTTATTTATGATCTTCTTAAAACCATTCCATGAAATAGAAACTAATTATTCTCATTTCTAAAAAAATAAACTTAGGTTTAGAGAGTTAGTAAAATTTTTGCCAAAGGGTCACAAAGCACCTATGTGTAGAAGCTAGGGTTCAAGTCAGATCTGTGAGTCCAGAACCTGTTCTCTAAACCACTATGCAGAGCTGCTCAGATTTATTGTCCGTGGGTACATTTTATACAAAGGCAGGTTCGATTTCAGTGCCATAAGGAACTTTCTAGTAGTTAAAGCTGATAAGGAAAGAATTCCCCAGGAGATAATGGAAGCACTGGTTTTAGTCAATTTAAATTTTTTATTTGGGGGATGTTGCTGAGGAGGTTCAGTGTGTGAATAGACTGGACCAGTTGGCCACTCTCTCAGATTCCCTCTTCATAAAGCTTCTGTGACCGCTACACCAACAGGTAGATGTCATAAGAGATGCTCACAAAAGAACCATGGTTGGGGCTTAGTGAGAATCCTTTTCTAATGCTAGGACCCTCAAATTATGTTTTGGCGAGTAGCCAGCCTTTCTTTAACATCAATTAGCCGTAGCAGCATGGTCATCATAGTCTTCATTGACTCACTGGCTTGGATTTTAAGATTAGAAAATCTGAATGCTCTTATGTCCTTCCATCTCACTTTTCTAGCGTGCCCAGATTTAGTCATCCTTACTCACTCATTCCCTCAAAATATTTATTGAGCACCAACAATGTAACAAGCACCATTCTAGGCACTGTGGTGAAGTAGAACCATTGCTAATCATTTCCTGGGTTCCACGTACTCTTGATTTCAAAAAAACAACAAAGTTTTTGTTTGGCCAGAATGAAACAGCTTCTTCTTAATTTTTGATTTTTTTTTTTTTTTTTTTTTTTTTGAGACGAAGTCTCACTCTGTCACCCAGGCTGGAGTGCAATGGCGCACTGTCAGCTGACCGCACCCTCCGCTTCCCAGGTTCAAACATTCTTCTGCCTCAGCCTCCCAAGTAGCTGGGATTACAGGTGCACGCCACCATGCCCGGCTAATTTTTTTGTATTTTTAAGTAGAGACAGGGTTTCACCATGTTAGCCAGGCTGGTCTCAAACCCCTGACCTCGTGATCCACCCCACTCAGCCTCCCAAAGTGCTGGGATTACAGGCTTGAGCCACCTCACCCAGCTGAATTTTAAAACTAATCCATTTTCTTTTGAAAAAAAAAAACAAAGTACTATGGAAGTAAATAAAGTAAGAGATAGCTCATCTTACTTTCTAGGGGTAGCAGTCACTAATACTGTGGCGAGTTATTTTATTCAAAGGAAATCACACTGTTAAGCAGCTTGCTTTTGATTTATTATGTTGTGGTCATCTTTTCATGTCAATACATAGATTAATGTTTTATTTCAAATGTCTACATAAAATATCACTACCCACACAACTCACAATTTGTGTGGCCAGCAATTTATTGAACACTAATCTTCTTACTGACAATGTCACAGTGAACGTTTATATATTCATTAAATCCTCTTCCATCTTTGCACTCTTGTGCTAGTATGTATATAGTGTGAATACATTCATAAATTTCTTGAACAAAGGTCAAAGTTACATTCATTTTAATTGTGGTAGATCTTCGTAAATTCTCCTCCATAAAAGTAGGACCAACTTGCATTACCACCAATAGTGTATATGAGCCTTTTTTTCTATGTATGATAGGACTTTTTTTAGTCCAAAAGTTCTGGGGAGTTTTTTGTCCTTGAAAGAATAACCTTCCTTCTACCAAGTTCAAGAACCTGAGTTTTTTAGTTATTAAGTTTTAAATTTCCTTTAGCAGCAGAGACTGGCTTGCTGTATATAGGGAAGTTTAGCAGTGACTAACTCACTATATGTCAAACACATCATTACTCTTCTCTTTTCCTACTTTACATGTAATGGTGGCAAGGACCAACTTTTAAAGGAGCTAAACTGGGTAAGAACCTTCAGCAAAGTACCAAACACATGCAAATGCATCTTCAAGTTCTTTGGGCCTCAGTTTCCCGATCTGATTAATGAGGATAATAATCCCTTTCCTTTTCCAAAACCAGTTCAACTCAGCAAACACTTCCTGACCACCTACTAAATAAATGCCAGGCAAAATGTGAAAGTTGTATTCTATGAGGCTAAATGGTACTGATTTTCAAAACAAGGAGCTCATAGTCTAAAACCATTTTTTCGTTCTTTTTTTTTCTCAAAAACCTTTTAAAGGGGTAAGAAGTTAGGGGATTGTTTATTAAGAACCCCTGAAGAGTGACCCTTTATCACTCTCTTAAATTTGAATAATTCCAAAATAATATTAACACCTCTTGACTAGAAAAGAAAAACAAGGAACATGCCGCAAGAGGAGCCTCTCCAATAATAAATGCAAAGCAGCTGTCAAAATATAGAGTCAAATGATACTTCCATAAAGTGCTTGCACAATTAGAAAATGTTATCCTTTTTCTAAGGAGAAATGGAACATTTTTATTTTCTCTGCTAAGTGAAATGCAACTTTTTGAAGAATCAACATGCTTGACATTTTTACAATGTACATAAAGAACAACTTACCCACTCTATTGCATGTGACTTTTGAGAAGATGAAAAGAACTTTAAACAGAATGCCTGTGGAGCTTTACTTTAGAAATGAAATACCCAAGGTGTTTTAACTACAACTATCTGCATGTAATATTGTGCCTGCGTAATGATTTTGTAAATATTAACTACAATTCTGTATTTGCTCTCTTCATACGACTTTTTACATTTCAACTTATACTATTTCTGTCTACTTTTTTCAAAAGTTCAATTTTTACTTTTGGAGGTTGGGTTGGTCAGAAGGAAAGGGCAATCAGATCAGTAGTCTGTCCCTCATTCCATTCCCCCATCACCCAGTTATTCTCTGTATCACTCTACCCTGTTTATTTCTTTCACATTATTTATCAGTTTGCCCTAATCTTGTTTTGTTTGTTGTCTTCCTCAATAATGGAAGTAGTCATGCTTCATGAGGACAGGGATTTTGTCTTCTTGTATTCATTTACTCATTTAAACACTTACCGAGAGCTACTACATGCTACTAGATACACTTCACTAAGTAGTAGGGATACAATGTGAGATATATGTGTTTCTAGCCCTTGTGTAATTCTTATTCTATGCAAAGGATATACAAGTGAAATTAACCAAAGCTTTTTTCATTTATTTTTCTTCTTCCCATTCTTTATCAGATATTTGAACTACTGGGCCGTTTAATGTTCATTAAGTTAAGAAAGGGTGTGATATCAGAAAGCAGAGGGAAGCATGTTCTTTTGAGTTTCAAAAATCTAGCTCCTTGGGGAACTGGAAAGGATTTATTATTTAGATCAAAGATTTGAGAGCACATATAATGAGGAAGATGAGGCTTCCTTACACACTGTCTAGGAAATAATTCCCCTGGCTATGGGGAGGAGAAAAAAGAACAAAAATGTTGGTAGGGCTCAGAGAAAGGGACCTGTGCGTAACCTTCTGGACCAAGTTCCAGGGAGCAGCAAAACCTCAATTAGATTTGTCCCCTAGCATGGACATGATTATGTGGTGTGTTTAGGCAGTGGGACCTTGGACAACTCCAGTGAGCTTCCTTCAACCCAGTGTGGTCCACATTGGAGGATTAGATTGATTTCCGTGAACCCAAAAGGATCACAGGAGTAGCAGGAGGACCTGCTGGACCTGAATGAGAATTTTTTCCATTCAATCCACGTGTTCTCTCAATGAAAATCAATTTGGACAATAACATTAGACCATCCCAACTCAGGCTGCCTTAGCACTAGGTAAGCCTCTGCTGTGGTCTGAATGTTTATGCCCAGCCCCTAAATTTATATATTGACATCTAACCCCCATGGTACCAGTATTAGAGGTAAGGCTCTAGGGAGGTGATTAGGTCATGAGGCTCCGTCCTGGTGAATGGGATTAGCACCCTTATGAAAGAGCTTAAGGGAACCGGTTTGCCCCTTCTGCTTTGTGAGGATGCAACACGAAGTCACCAAACATTGAAGCAGAGAGAAAGCCCTCACCAGAATCTAAATCTGCTCGTACATTGATCTTGTACTTTCCAGCCTCCAGAACTGTGAACAATGCATTTATATTGTTTATAAATTACCCAGTCTATGTATTTTGTTATAGCAGCTCCTAAATGGACTAAGACAGCCCACAGAGTTTAGCAGTTACCCCAAAGAAAGGAAAGAACTACAAGATTAGTGTTGCTCAGGATCATTTATTCCCTATTTCTGGTGTTTCTGTGTAGAGAGTGCTCCTTTAAAGTAACACTTTTGGCCTGTGTCTGCTTCTTCCCTAGGCAGTGATTTACCTAATTTGTGAGTTTAGGATTAAAAAAAGGAATACATTCTAGAACATTTCTGAAATATGTTCTCTTTTCTCTGTTTTATGCAAACATGGCCTATTTATTTTTCAAGTCTTTCTCATTTCTTACCTGGATGATTTCAACATAGGTAATATAGCTTCTTCCTTCTCCACCACACCTGTCCCCATCAATCTACCCATCACATTTCTGTTAGAATTTTCTTAACACAAAAATTGCTTCTATTGCTCCTTTGTTAGTCTTCAGTAGTTCCCTAGCACCTTTTGTTGTCTGAGCCCCTGGCTTTCACTCTAGCATCATTTCTTATCCCCAACAGTTGGCCAGATAAACTGTTCTCTGTCTAGGAAGCTTCTCTTGCCCCATTCCTGCATCAGATTTCTTCTCATACATAAAGACTCTGCTCTCATTTTACCTCATCTTTGAAGACCTCCTTGATACATACTGCCTTCCCCATGCCCAGGGCTGGCACTCTATGGATGCCATCCCTGCATTTTTATACACCTGCCCAGCCCCTCTTCCATTTCAGGAGTGGTGGAGCAAGAACTTCCACCCCAAGAGAGCTGCTGGCCTGTTTGTCCAGACAATCATTTGGTTACTGTATTTACTAATATACTATTACCTACTGAGCTGGGTTATTGTGTCTTAGAGGCTTGAATTCGGGTCCTACCTTCTCTTTCTCCATGTGGTAATGAAATCTGGAACTCTGGTTAAAGCCAACTAGTCTCTCTCACTGTGGCGGTTCCACTCAACATCAGTAGCTA